AACTTTAACCCTTTCCTATACCAACTGTATGTGTGTGTGTGTGTGTGTGTATGTGTATGTTAGACCAGTTTATGTGTTTATGTAGTATGTTAGACTAGTTTAAGTGTTTATGTAGTTAATAAAACCTTACTTGTATCACACTTGACGTGTTCATTGTTTGCTCATAACCGGAGTCACTAATCATGCAGATTTACGTTACAAGCTTATAGAATTGTACAGTAAGAAAGTTATTTCCCTTAACCAGGAAATTAACGGTCTTAGAATTGACAAGACAGTTGACCCTGAGAGGTCAGCTAAATATCTACAGCGGATCTAAAATATGAATAGTTAATTATAACTAGTTATGGTTAATTATTAATATTTCCCCATGAGCTGATTCGCTACAACAGAGATTCACTTAGAAAACAGCCGTTTTAAACACTAAACATATTTCACAATATTTCTGCTTTTGTGGTATTTTGGATCAAATAAAGGCAGACTTGGTGAGCAGAAGAGACTTGTTTAAAAACAATTAAAACCTGTACTGTTCATAAACTGTGGACTGATAGTATAGTGCAGCATGTATAAAATTTTATTTTGTATTTTCCTCTAAATGTCGTGCAGCACTAAACGCAAGTGTATCAACCGATTGTTGGTGCTTGGGCTCTAATGATGGTCACTTGCAGAAACTTTGGTAACACTTTATTTGAACAGTCCACTTGAGGTGTTGTGCCTGTAAGTAACTGTGCAGCTAAACCAGCAGTGGCTCGAGTATCAGTAGACCGTCTGCTTCATATCTAATCACACTTTATTCTGATGGTCGCTCAACAGACGTCCTACTGACTATAATTATCTTTGCAAGTACGGCAGCTTATTCTACTAACCCTAACCTAACAGCCTACACGTGCTCTGATGAGAGTTAATTAATACTACCCCTAACCTAACAGCCTACACGTGCTCTGATGAGAGTTAATTAACATGTAGTTGCAAAGTTACTCACAGTTAGTAGACCATCTAAAGCGGACCATCGAATAAAGTGCAACCGGAACTCTCTGTTGTCAGTATTTCTGATCTCTCTTTATAATGTTCAGTCTGATTATGTAAAACAATCGGATCGTCTGCAACTGCAAGATATCATTGCAATTGTTTGTTTGTGTGTTTATTGATTTTTGACAATTATATGAATACGAAAAGAAGCAGAACGTGGATTTAGAAAGACATGATGATAGTCCAACTTTGGCAAATTCTCCAGGCTGCTTGGGTAGCGGAACCCTAAAGTTCTTTTTAACAATGGGGTGTATCTGTTGCGGTCCACAGGTATACTGATCATGGCGACGTCTGCTGAAGACCACAGCGTTCTCGAGGAGGAGCTGACGTGTCCAGTGTGTCTGGATCTTTACCGTGACCCGCACCTGCTGCCCTGCGGCCATAACTTCTGCCTGCCGTGCCTGCGCAGACTCAAGAGCTGCTCGGACCACGGCCGTCTGCGATGTCCCGAGTGCCGGCAGAGTCACCGCAGCTCCGCCAACTGGCAGAAGAACTTCAAACTGGCCAACATCGCTGACGGTTTCCGCCATCGTGGCCAATCAGAGCGCTCCACCCAGAGCCGGAGCGACGCGTCTCACAGAGCCGCCCAGGTTCGCTGCGATTACTGTCCCGAGGACGCCAGCGAGGACGGGAAGGGTCCGGCGGCGGTTAAAACCTGCCTGAAGTGTGAAGTGTCCATGTGCCCGAAGCACGTCCAGCCTCATCTGGAGCTGCCGGCGTTCAGAGAGCATCCGCTGGTGGAGCCGCTCGGAGACATGAGGAAGAGGAAGTGTTTGGAGCACGACGAGATGTTCCGGTACTATTGCCTGGATGAGCGCTTGTTCCTCTGCAACGCCTGCACCATAGAGGGAACGCACGCTGGACACGCCATCAAAACACTGAAGAACGCCATGAAGGACTTCAAGGTAGGTGCGCTGTGTCCAGGCCCTTTCACTCTTCTCACATCGGTGCACACTTATACCTCAGAATATGCTTTCAGTAATCAGATCCCAGAGTGTGTTGAACCTAGGAGTTTCACCCTCTTAACCAATGAGGATAGGGGGACATACCCAAACAGGATGTTTTGCCCAAGAACATGTATTTTGTATAAAATTGCCACATATACAGAAAAACATGTCCATATTAGGAATAGACTTCCTGGCGACAGAGGCTGAACCCCCCTTATAAATCAGCACAAACTCCTTTACCTTGAATATTGAGTAAGAGACATTCAAACACCATACAAGAGAGAGAGAGAACAGATAGAGGAGGGGTGATTCAGAGAAGGAGAGAGAAAGAGTGAGAAAGGAGGGGTACGGCATCCTCAAGACAGAGAGTGTCTTCTAACAAGTAATCAGACCCCAGAGTGTGTTGAACCTCTTTACACCATTTAGTGTTTTGCAATCATGATCAGACACAATGATTGTTCATACCAGTGGAGTCTCCGGTTGTGTTCCTAGTGAAGGCCACTTTCGAAACACTACTTCATGAAGCTTCGAAACCTTTTCGAATCTTTTATTTCGAATCACTGGTTCGAAGCGCCTATCAAGTCACACGACTTCAGTAAACAAGACTTTGTTTCGTCACAACTGAATCATGCTGATCCTCTGAGATGGGATTTGTAAAAGCAGTTTTTAAGCAGTTTGGCCTGAGTTTCTGTTGCATTTACACTATTCTGACCAGCAGGCGTCACTGGTGCCTTGAACGCTTCAGAGCAGTGAATCGTTTCGTGAAGAAATTGGTCCAATTGATTCAAAGCTTTGAAAAGCTTTGTTTATTCCATCACTTCTGCGTTTCACTTCACTTTTTTTCTGCCCTTCTCTGTCTTGTTCAAGTCCTCCTGGGAAGTTCGTATTTACGAGTTGTCGAAGTTGACGTAATTACGACTTCAGGTGCTTCAAGAAGTGTTATGTGTGTAAAGACCCCCTGTGGTGAAAATCAAGTTTTTAACCTTGTTTACATCTGGCATTTTTAATATGCTTGAAGACAAATACTATGTGTAGGGATGTAACGATTCACCGAAAGCCGGTTGAAAATCAATACGAATATGTGACGATTCAAATCGGTTGAGATGTTAAACAAATCGTGACACATTTGGGGATGGGTGTTTATATGAATGTATCCTTGAGGGGAGCTGACTGTCTTTAGAAAAGTTCAGATGATATTTTCTGTTCATCTGGTCTCTGTATAATGCATATTAATGAAGCAGCGCTGCTTTGTTTACTGCGGTATCCAAGCAAACGCTGCTGTTCCGTGAGCGCCTCCTGCTGTCAGAGAGTGAAACAGCGTCTCATTCAGAGCTGCTGCTGTATTTGTCAGAGCATGCTGTTTTTGTTTTAAAATGTGAAATTATACAATCTAATTTATATTTAAAAACTGCTCAGGCTGCGTGTATACAGCATCTTTGCTTGGATTGTGATTCAAATGCAGTGGTTGCCTCTAATTTTGAATGCAAAGAGCACAGACAAATCCTTTGTTTATATGAAGAGGTGTTTTTTATTTTTTTATATTTTGATTAGATATGGAGTTTGTTTTAGAATTTAAATTTAGTTTTGTTATTTGACATATTTCTGTTTCACAAAGAAATGTGCAGCATTTTATCAAAGCCATAATAAAAGGATACCTTTTCATTTATAATTTGTCTTAAATCTAATTTTGTTTTAAAAAATCGTGAAATCAGTATCGCGACTCAAATCTAATCGTGAGTCGAGTGAATCGTTGCATCTCTACACAAATGCATTAGTAAACCCCTTTGTGAGCGTTTTCTCTGTATAACTGCAGTGTGCCAAAGACCGTCTCAACGATGCTGTTTGAAATATCCAGTTTCTTACCGTCACAAACATGTAGCCGATCCTGTCGAACTTGCATTATCAAGTTAATATCTCGATATCGTTAGCTGGTGAACGGGAACATGGTTTGTGTAACATTAGCAATCATTATTAGCAGTTTGATAATGTAATCTGGAGATTTAGAGATGCATTCATTCTTATTCATCTTACTCTTCTTCTTCAGAATAAACGTCTGGATCAAACGTATATGGCTGAATTACTCCAGTACTGGTGCTTGCCGTTGTGTAGCATTTACTACTTCAGCTAACGAAGTCAAAGTGGAGCAGGTTGTCTGAGCTGCTGTAACTGAGTGGAAGCAGAGACTCATTTGTGTATGCATGGTTATATTTATAGTTACAGTTATTTTCAACCCGTCTTAATACATAAACTTTGGTCATTTATTTGAAGAAGTGCAGTGCTCTTCAAGATAGCGGTGGGGATTCTCTGAAGGGAAGTTTGCGAGCGTGTGTCTAAAAGCGAAGTGAAACAAACCTCAAGTTTTGCATGCTCCGTCAGATGTGAGCGTTCTTGTTCTCTCCGTCTCTGATCTCGGTTGTTTTCTCTAGGCCTATCTTGACATTCAGCTGCACAAGACCAACAGAAAGATCCTTAAGGCAGAAAAAAATCGACTGGAACAAAAGGAGGTTGAACGGCACAACAAGGTGAAGTTAGCTCTGTGGCATTAGTTTCTTTTACAGACTAAACACTCTGTCCTTCACGTTCTGTTTAATGTTCATGAAGTTTTTAGTTTTACAAAAATGCTGATCTGTTCAAGGCCTACCGGGACGACACCGACCAACACCTGAATGCTTTCCGAGAGACGTCTATTGCACATCTGGATGCTTTTCTGTGCTCGCTGCGTGACTGTATCAGCACTCATGACGGTGAGCAGTGTTCGGGAATCCAGCAGAACCTGAGTCGAATAGCGCAGGATCAAACCCGTCTGCAAGACGTTCACTCGGGCTTTGAGAGGCTTCTACAGGAGAGCGACACTTTCCAGTTCATCAAGGTACATTTTACACACCGGTACTGAATTCAGATAAGACAGTGGTTGTAGTAACTCTAGACATGAAGTCTGGTCCACTTTGCAGTTTATTCTGGCTCAGAACTGACCTCTTAAAAGGGAGAATGGAAAGCAACCAACTACAGTTTTAGTTTTTGCATAATTTAGGGTCAGGTTTATCTGAAATGGTTCATACAACAATAGTAGAAAACACTGAAGATGTAGTTAACTCCAAAAGCAAAGGCTGCGTTTACACTGGTATTAAAAACTGATTTTATACACACTTGACACAGATCAGAAATTTTTGCAAAAGCATCGGTTTATGATCCAATTTTTTTTTTTTTGTCGTATTCATTCTGAGCCAGTGTTGTTTTAAATCATATATATATATATACCTAATATCTGAACATCTGACCTGCGTCTAAACACGTAAATCTGCTTCCCATTGGAATCGACTCTTCACAAAGACCTGACAGATCGCTCTAGTGCCTCAGTTCAAGCGCAAACCGATCATCTCTTCCTCTTTACTACTAGTTATAGCACAAAATAAACATGAATGGACAACAGAAGATATCTTGTTTCAAATGCGGAAAGACATCAATACACACCATTTTTCAACTTCAAGTCCACCGACGTTAATCGACTCTTCTGTCTGGTTTGTTTGTCGGACAAAATGGCAGATTCTGTGTTATGATTGGTCAGATCACCTGTCAATCAAACTCCCGGCGAAGGGTTAATTCCAACCTATAACAAGGCAAAGGAGACACATTTGCCCACGAACATAACTTTTCTTAATATCAAATTATGAAGCAGATGTTTCCTGCATAACTCGCACAAAAAAACAAGCTTCTTTTATTGAGGGGGAGACTTTATTTATAGGTAAGATAAAGCGCACTCACAGAAACATTCAGGAGCACAGAAACATGTTTTAAGCCGCAGCTCCATTTATTTTTAATAAGTAAAATATATTCGCTGCTAAATCTACAATATAAGTTTTTGCTGGATATGTTTTAATCTTGCCACATTAAATAATTTCACTTCAGAATTCTATATCTAATGACCCGTAGATAAAATAACTTAATCTCACTGACCGGATACAATAACAGTAGTTGTTATGTGCTGCAAACATTAATGACAGCCTGTCGATGCTGGAAAGTAATCATGGTAGAGCCACTCAATGTCAATTATATAAATAATTCACACTGAACTTTGAACATTATATGAATAATTAGCATTGTTCAGAACCTGAGGGTCAACCGTGTCGCAGAAAGCGATCAGCAGTCGTTTATGAAGTGCAACGTAAACAGATGGGACAGAACATCGATGTGGTCAAAATATTGGATCTGTGCAAACGCAGCCAAAGCACAACAGATGCATCTTCTCATGGGTATCTAGTTTATGTGGTGCTTAGTGCAAAGAAGTATGTGATGCCACAAATCTCACAAACTGGCAAATCTAGAAACTAGAAACTTTCTCGAAAGCACACATTCTAGCACCGGGTGAAATCCTGAACATGGGCCGTCACATTAGAGCCAAAGTCTTCTACTAAGAGTCTGTGGATAATTATAGAAAACATGCAAGTAATGCAACATAATTGGAAATATTCTATTATCTAGAATGTAATAACTTTTGATTAAGTTGTTCATGAAACTTCATGTTCCTCGTTGGGCAGTTTGAACAAAACCTACATTTGAAAAAGTTGAAATCCTAATATTTTTTGGGTTTCTTTCAGGAATACAGTTCATCTATAAAAAGGTACGGCAGACGTTTGATTCAGAGGTTCTTTCACACATTTGCATTTGGTTTGTCCAGTTTTTATTATCTTTTAAAACTCTTTGTGTGTGTGTGTGTCTCTGTGTGTGTGTGTTTCTCTCTGTGTGTGTGTGTGTGTCTCTGTGTGTGTGTGTTTCTCTCTGTGTGTGTGTGTGTGTCTCTGTGTGTGTGTGTTTCTCTCTGTGTGTGTGTGTGTGTCTCTGTGTGTGTGTGTTTCTCTCTGTGTGTGTGTGTGTGTCTCTGTGTGTGTGTGTGTGTAATAATACAACCCGCGTTGTCATTTCTCTTTATTTATTTTTGTTCTTATTTCGATTTGGTGTTAAATCAAACTTGACTCATTCAAACAAAGAAATATTCCAAGCCCAGAGTCGGTTCAAAATAGCTGTTTTGATCTAATCATCCTCTGGGTCTGAGTGCAGTTATATTGGATAGCATAGCCTATTGTAGACAGATTGGAGATTAATCCTAATAAACATGCCGCTACAATAAAAACCATGACATTAAAATGCATTTAAAACAGTGTATGTCTATGATCCCTCCTGCAGTAACAGCGTGCAGATCCTCGTTTATCTCCGGACTCTAGCTTAGCTCGCTCACACCTGACCATATATCTTCTAGAACAGGAAAAACATATCGATTTTATGACATATGTTGTTATTACGAGAAAATATATCGTTTTAACGACATAGCATTATTAGGACATAATTGAGTGGAAATGATAAATAGTGGCAGCAGTGCGTCACCGTAGAAAAAGGCCAGCATTTTGACTTTTTTTTATTCAACAGAAACGTACCCATATTGTACTCAAGGCATACTGCAAGCAAGCCTATACCTAAACGAGCAAAACAAGCGCTTTCACATGGGAAATCAAATTTAATCAACAATAAAAGCCGACTCCACTGCTTAGTTCAGCTTATTCGCACAGGCTATTGAATAATAAATGTTCCTGTTATTTCTGTTATTTGCAGAAAGGGCATTTTCTCCCAAATTGAAAAGACATTCTAATACACAACAAACGAAAAGGAGAGAAAAGAAGATCGGACCTCAGACTAGAACTCCTGTCACTAAAGCAACACTGCACGGTTCGCAGACCACAGCGCTACAGAAACCCACACTTACCAGCTGCATTTGACACATCAACTTACACAAAGGATAATAAAAGTGCACAGTTTGTGTACATATGATAAAGAAGACGAAGACACACGTGTACCCAATGAAAAAGTAAACATATCACAAGATGAAAGTCCAAATGTTGGTCACATAACGTTAAAAAACAGGATCCTTGAAGTAGATCGCCATTCAGAACGACATTCTATTACTCATGCCTGACTGCCTACTGCATCAAAGGGGCTGGACTGTGTAGAAAAGGAGGGGCTGATTTTAATATTACAGAAAACGACGTTTTTTACGCTGTCTTTGTCAAATGGAGCGCCGTAAATTACGGCGTATTATGGATGGCCAAACGGCGAAAATAACGGCGTTTGGGATTGCATCAATAAACGCCGACATTAACGGCGGTTCTGCTGTGAAAACGCCCTAATTTACGCCGTGTGTACTACAAAACCGCCGTCTAAAACGTCGTAAAATACGGCGTTTTCTGCACACCAGGCGTCTGGTAAATGGCGAAATGTGACCCGTTTGGCGTTCCATACGGTAGACGCGAATTTGACGCTCTATTCGCGTTTGGTGTGAACGCAGCATAACGTCTCATATTTTACGTCTGACGCCTGAATACTATGGGATTTTGGCCAGACGGCTGGCGAGCGTATACACGTTTGTTCTCTTGTCAGTTTGCATAGCAAGAGCAAAAATTGCACAAAATACACCCATATAGATGCACAAAATACACCTCATACAAAATACACCTCATACCCCTCACTGCAGCCGCCTACTCTCACCTACATTTCAGGCAAGGCGAGGCGCATCTCAAACAAGCCTACTTTCGTCGCCCCCCTTTCTAGCGTGAGAAGCTGCGTGAGAAGATACCTGAGAAGCTGTGACGTCTGCTCCGTGTTATCTGCCGTACCTTTTGCCAGTTCTGTGTGTGATTTTGTCAAATCTCTTAAGTGCTATAGATTCGTGTTTTTTTGTTTTGTTTTGTTTTGTTCTGAGCAAAAAGAAAAAAAGCTATTTTATAACCATAGACTGTAAAAAGCATGGACGTAGTGTCCGTGACGTCACCCGTTGAATTCATTTTTTTTTTTTCGTGTGAGGAAAGGTCCATGAGTTTTTTAATTCAGAGTTCGGATAACAAATCCTCCATTTAGATTGTGCTTTAGAGGGGCATCCGAACATTTCTAATAAAAAAGTTATTGCATTTTTTATCTAATACATAAACACCATTAAATGCAAGTGTAGGAAAATGGTTGTTTACACAGCCATAACATAAATGCGCTTTAAACAACGTTTTTAAACTGACAGGGATACTTTTAGTCACCTTATCAAAATCTCTTAGTGAGATTGATGCACCTTTCAAAAACACAAACTCAGAAAAGGAAAGAAGGTCCCCGTCAGAATTGAACAAATCAGAAACAAAAAAGATATTTTGATTCACCCATTCAGTTAAACATGATTTGTTACCAGACAATATATTTTCATTGTTCCAAAGAATACACGTGTGAGGGGAGAAATTATGTTTAAAAGCAATCTTCCAGGATTCTAGGGCTTGTTTATGAAAATTTGACAGTTTAATAGGTAACTTACTACACTTAAAGTTACAGGACAATAAAAATTTAAGGCCACCACAACGTTTGAAGAATAGGTTAGGGATCCAAAACCAGGGTAACTCATTATTAGATAAACAATTCTTGATCCAGTTAAATTTGAAAGTCTGGTTAATGATATTAAAATCTAAAGCATAAAGACCACCCTCCTTATAATTTCTTATCATAGATTTCCTTTGAACACATTCCGTCTTATTTTTCCAAATAAAGCAGAATAGCAGAGAGTTAATCATTTTAATAGTTTTTTGATCAACATAAAGGGAAAAAGCAGGATAAACTAG